ATATATACATACGTATATATCTATATATATATAAAAATATATATGTATATGTATAAATATATATGTATAAATATATATATATATATATATATTTATACATATACATGTATATATTTATGTATAAATAAGTTTATGTATAGATATATATATATATATATATATGTATTTATTATTATACATCTGTATACATGTATAGAAATAGTGATAAATATGCATATATATGTATATATATTTATATATACATATATGTATACGTGTACGTACGCTTAAACGTTTGCATATGCATAAACATAAACAAAAGCATATACATATACATATACGTATTCATATTCGTATTCATACACATAGTTCTTCACATATACATATATGTCCTGCGCTGAATTATACTCGGACCAAATCACTACCCTTAGTTTTATCTTTAACCCTGGTAGGTGTGTTGTTGTCTGGTGATGTTGCACTCGATTTCTGTCGAGTTGGGGGGATTTTGATATTCGATGTCCAGCTTAGGGGATTTCTTCATGGTTCCCATATTTTTGACTGCCTTTGGCTGCTGTAGTGTAGACAGCGGGGTTGACAATCTACTGGCGACGTAATTAATCTACTGACTACTTATGTGAACATGTGTGCTATAGATTATATATTAGGATACATGGTTGTAAAAGCTTGAGATTGAGTACTATGTGTGTCGTATATTGCACATGTGTAATATTTGAAGACATTTTCGGCATTACGTTCCGTTGTGTGAAGGCGCACTCTTATCTATTATCCGGCAGTAACGAAGCAAAATATCTCTTGCAGCGCACACTCCATACATTCTTCCGATAGGATGGTGAGCATCTCGCCAACCGTTGTCACATTGCAACAATGGTATATTCCATCTGCCTCAGTTATTGAATGTAGAGGTGCGATTTAGGTAGTCAGCTGTGTCTACGTGTCACCCACTGAAGCAACACATCGGGTTAACTGTACGCCCAATAGAGATCGTTCATTCCGCACTAACAAGTCTGTGCACACATGCGATAGAGTGCGGCACTAACGAGGGTTATACTCGATGCAGATGCTGTGCCTAAGTCAGATGCCGAGAAGCAGATTTACGATCAAGTGGAGGGGCTTTTGCAAGAGAGGGAATTGGTATGTTCTTGCACTTCGTGCACTTCAAAATGTGTATCCATGTATTTCCGATTCCGAATTATTAAATCGGTGGTCTGAAACTGCAACGTTTTTATCAAATAGGGTCTGCCAACGAACCATGCATCCGGCAAAAACAATCTATTTCTGTTTTTCAAACATTGCTGTGATCAGGTGACCAAGGCCAATTAAATATCTGTCGATCGGTGTGAATTATATGCACTATCCTGATAGTGCACACTCAGCGTGTTGCAGCGGTTAGTCATCTGTATTCGGTAAACGCTTACGCCGTGTATTCGCATGCGCTATTCAGATCAAACAATTGATGGACAACTATGAAGGGGCAGCTGAATATATTCGACAGGCGATAGAAGACCCGGCGTTCGAGGCACAGGCTTGGGAGAAAGTAAGTACTTTACTTACCCGTACAAATTATACGATTTGCCGAGAGAGTTCACAGCACGATATAATGTGTGGGAGTTATGCTCGTGCTCTATTAAGTACAATCTTAACAGTGCTAACCATACTCTTAACCGTACTATTCATACGGCAATCTTAACAGTGCTATTCATACGACCTTCTTAACAGTGCTATCTATACGATAACCTTGACAGTGGAATTCGTACCCTTAGCAGAACTATTCATACGACAAATCTTAATAGTGCTTTCCATACCTTTAACAGTGCTATTCAATGACAATCCTATTAGTGCTATCCATACGACAACCTTGACAGTGCTATTCATACCCTTATCAGGACAATTCATACGACAATCTTAACAGTGCTATTCATACGACAACCTTGACAGTGCTATTCATACCCTTGTTTTATGATGTATTGAAATCCATTATGAAACGTATTTTCCGCACTTATAATGAACAATAGAGTTGTATACGGTACTGGGCCGTGTTAACCTCCACACAGCAGACAGTAGTTTCTACTGTGCATGTGCGTGTGCGCATGGCTACTATTCCGTGCCCTAATCCTATAACGTGCAGTCGTTAGCGTTTGCTGTGCTGCACAGACATTAAGATGCCAATTCCAGTGCCCCTTCTTTCTTGCACAGATCATCCCGCTCTGTCATAAGCTCCATGACGTATACGCCTTCTCCTTAAAGGTCGCTGAGGTATGTGGTGAATGGTATATCTACTCCCTCTCCCACCGCTCGCAATCGCTTGGTTGATTTCAAGCCGTTGATAAAACCTCTCATGGACGAACATACTCAAAAGTTTCCATATAACACATTTGAGGAACCCAAAGACTCATGTTTACTGTCTCTGATCCCGTACACAATTAGGCGTGGCCGTTGCTGATTCAATATTTAATATCGCTTGATGAAGCGGACATGGAGGTTGTACTCGATGAGAACCAAGCACTAGCGAAACAACTGGGTCGTATCATGGACTTTGTGCTTTCGGTCGATGAAATCAAAATGAACAACCCGTCGTTTCAGAACGATCTGAGCTACTACCGCCGCACAGTGAACAAAAACAAAGGCAATATGGTACGTGTTTATTACAAAGAATTCAGGAGTCAAACCCTGATAGTTCATGGTACCGTACTATGCGCGCAGTGGTTCAATTCTTCCCTGCATGGCAAGCCGTGGTCCGTGATAGCGAGCAACATCTGTCAGTACATCTAACATAACTTCTAGATCGTGTCATTGGGATGCGCGTATTGCGATACAGCGTGCTGCTATACCAGTGGACCCCGAGAGCTTCGATATATAATAACTCGACTAATGTCGTGAATTCTATCTACCGATGTATTTTCAGTGTGAATTGGCCCTAAAGGACGATGTGGCAAACAAGATGTCGCTCTTCTATGCGTCTCCGACGCCATTTCTCCAGACGATCCAGAACGCCACCGCGAATCTGGGCAAAACCAAGCCAATGAACCGCATCACCGACTGCTTTGGGATCATCTCGTCTGTGTGCTTGAGCATGATTGAATCACCGTAAGTTGTCCGTACGTTAGTGCCTTTTGTATGCATGCGCTGCACATTATAGATGCGTATGGTGCATGGTGCTACATACATTGACAGCAGTTCGAGACTATTGCCAGCTGAAGACGCATGGCAAATGCTTTGATATCAACTCAGAATTGCTGCGCGTTTGCTGCGCGTTTGCTGCAGTTTACAGTGCATCATTGGCGTATGTATTGCAATATGTGTGCGTTCTTGTCACCGGTGGTGTACGGCTCTACGGAGGGAGAGAACAAAAGCAAGAATTAGAAAATCTAAAAATTGAGCAAAGTCTTTGGTTTGCATGAAGTGTTGAGCAAGATTAATGGCGCATATTGTTACGTACTCTGTGCAAAATTTATGCGTAGGCTGGGTACATACTTATTCATACCTAGTGAATGGGTAATTCATATATATGCATCCTATAAACATGCATGTGTATTCCAGATACATGCAGTGCGCATTCGATATTGCAAAGCCAGGGAATGAACGTGCTATTTGTTATGCAAGACGTGCGTTGTGTTTAGTATTTCCAATTTCTAAAATTTCGCTTCTCCTCTCCATCCGCAGAGAAAAAATCGAACGGCTAGAAAAGGAGCAAGGCATCTTACTGTGTTTACGGGTAATGGTGGGATCCATCATCGTCTACGACCATTCGCACGATCTGGGAGCTTTCGGTCGCAAATCCGACATTGACGTAAGTTCTCCGTGTGTTGTTGGAGTAAGCTCTCGCTCTCTACAATTGAATGAGCTCGTATACGAGGCGCGCATACTGTCACGTGCCTGCCCAATCTCCATCAGTCGATTGCACGTTGACATGTTTAAATTTTTGACCTTCATAAAGTTCTTTCGTACTGCTCATCTTGATGTGGCTGTTGTTTTCAGTTGTGTATGCGGTTGATATTCAAAGAAAAAAAACAGGGCGTTACGAGTTAAGGACTTGGTAGACTGTGAAATTGGAGTTCGTCCACTGTCCGAAGGACAAAAGGTTCTATATCAAACCGTGCAAAAGCCGCATCTAACACCAAACCTACGTATCCCACCTCCATGACACCCAGATCAAGTCCAGTGTACTATGCCTACAAAAATACAGTGAAATGACCGGCAATCTCGTGAACGCGCTCAAGTTCTCTACAAAACATTTGAGCGACGAGACTACACCTAAAGCAGTCCGCTCACTTCTTGGATGCTCATAGATACGACGCACTACTTAGAAAAATATGGCATCGATCGTCTTCGACTTCGAACTGGAAACAGTGTCACAAACTTGGAAAAGTGTTGTTGTACACACGACCTGATGAACTTGCGTGAAGCATAATTATGCGTGGCTCCATTTACACCGCGGTGCTTCGAGTAGCGGCGGTGTGCACAGTTCTAATATGAAGCAGCTTCGAAGAGTCATTAGCAATTGATACTCAGTTTGGTATGACAAGAAAGTCTCGTCCTCTGAAGAACTTGTCGTAGACAAAGCGATTTGAAATCTAATATGTATTTTGAAACAGATAGAATAGATACTACTACATACGATCATAAAAAGTCAGATTGATTTGTTTGTCCTCTTGAAGAATTTTGTCATAGCTATTAACGATATACAATCTCATATGTAAACAAGATAGAATAGAGAAGTACCACTACAAAGTTCAAACGATCATTTTTTAAAAAAGCATATTGATTTGTTTATCCATCTTTGAAACTCGAAACTCCCACTCATCACGGGTATCGTGCCATCCGCTCGCCAGATAAATGGCCTTTCGTATTTGTATGATAGTAGTAATTGGATGAACTCAGCCATTAAAAGACTATAAAAATAGCTGAAGTATGGCTTTCTTCATTCTTTGGCAATAGTCCCTTCTCTCAACTACTCAGTAGTAGAGAGAGGGAGAAAACAGACCCAGATCGTCTCTAAATATATAAGAAAGTTGAAGGAGAAAATAGACTCGTACTAAACTCTAGCTCTCTCTATAGCGAGAGAGGATCAATTCCATTTAAATTTTAAACACGTCCTGAATATCTACCCACTACTCTAGAGAGAGAGGGTGCACACTTTCGGGACTGTTTGTGGGGTTTTTTTACTAGCACAGTATGTATTCACTTTGAAGTTGAAGTGAAAAAATTGGAACGTACCAATAAATAAAAACAGTGCACAGACCACAGTGCACACTGCACAGTACAGTCAATCAGTCATACATACAGCAGTCAATCAGTCATACATACAGCAGTCAATCAGTCATACATACAGCAGTCAATCAGTCATACATACAGCAGTCAATCAGTCATACATACAGCAGTCAATCAGTCATACATACAGCAGTCAATCAGTCATACATACAGCAGTCAATCAGTCATACATACAGCAGTCAATCAGTCATACATACAGCAGCCAATCAGTCATACATACAGCAGCCAATCAGTCATACATACAGCAGTCAATCAGTCATACACTCAGCAACAAACACTCAACAGTCATTTTGTCATACATACATACAGCAGTGAATTAAGTCATACATCCAGTTAGTCAATCAGTCATACATAGTTACATACAGCAGTCCAATCTTTCATACACTGTATAGAACCACTACTGAGCACAATTAACACGAGGCCGCCTATTCTTAAGTCTGATTGGTAGTAAAATTTAATATTGTAAGTATGTGAAGTCATAACAGTTGTGAGAATAGAATGCTCTTTGTTTTGAGTACAGATGTACATACGTGCCTTTCTCACTAAAACACTACTGCAGAGAGTAAATAAAAGACGTGTCTCGAATTCTCGATCGCTTTCTAGTTTGATTCTAATTTGAATTTCTGTTGACGCAAAGTCACTACATACATAATCAGCTTTTTTTTCCAAAACAAATAGATAGTTTTTTTTGAATTTTGAGCCAGCTTGTTGCCGTTGAAGACGACTAAAGTGTAAACAGTAAATTCAACCACTATTTAAAAAAAAAGGTCTATAGCTGGCGAGCTGAACACCTGCGGGAGGCCTGGGCCCTGGGGGCCATGGGGCTGGTCAGTGGTCAGTGGACACTGCCTCACGGGTGTCTTGGACATTATTGCCCTGGAGTGGGCGACTGGCGACAGAGGTGAGTGCACTGCCGGGTGCCCTCTTCTCTCTTGTTGTGTGTCTGTCATGTAATTTCTGGATGGTCGACGACAACGTCACTGTCACAACGACAGGCAGGACTCAATGAGGCAACAACTCTGTTTTTATTTTTATTTTTTGCAATTACTATTAAAAAAAAGGTGCTTTTTCTTGCTGTGTTTCAGAAATTCAGAAATTCAGCGTTTGTATCACTTTGTTGGAAACGAAGAACCTATTGTTTTTAAAAAAAAAAAAAGCTCTTTATGTTTCCAGAAACAAAAAGTAAGATATTTAGCTCGGAGCTTACTTTTGGATGTTTAATTGTTTATCCACAGACCTATCAGTATCTAGTTCGCTTATATCATGTAATAGTTCAGAGATGAGAGTGAAAACGTGAACAAGCCGCTCTGTTTTACTTTTTGACGGTTATAAATAAAATCTGGGGCAAAGTTAGTCTGTTACAAATAGAGTTGTAAATGTAGAAGTGTAGACTGTAGCGCAGTGTTGTGTTGTGTGTAGACTTTCAAAAAAGAGTGTAGAACTGTGGAGTGCAGAGTTGTAACCTGTGCCCTGTTTTAGTGCTAAAAGTGTATTTAGACTGTAGCGCTAAGCTCAATAAGTTATAGGGGTACGTTAACTTTTTTGATTTTTAAAAGTTATAACTTTTATTTAGGACAAATCAACTACAAAGTTATTTTGGAAACTGCACTCAATAAGCTGTCCGATCGTTGAAAATTTTAGGCCACGAAAATGATAATAGGCAATCAAAAGAGATTGAGCGTTTCAGTTGTGACGACTGTCACCTGAGTGACCTGAAAAATGCACCTATCATATATAGAAGTGTACTATCGAGATATAAAAGTTACAACTTTAATGTTTATTCGAGGCATAATAAAAGTTACAACTTTTAACGCATTGAACTTAGCTGTAGCGTGTAGAACTGTAGACTGTAGACTGTAGAGTGTAGACACTCTACTCTACTCTAGTATGTAGTAGTAGACAACACTGTAGTGTAGAGTGTAGACTGTAGAGTGTAGACTGTACTGTAGAGTGTAGACTGTAGAGTGTAGACTAGAGTGTAGACTGTAGAGTGTAGACTAGAGTGTAGACTGTAGAGTGTAGATTAGAGTGTAGACTGTAGAGTTTTAGGTAGAGTGTAGTCACTGTAGACTGTTGAGTGTAGACTGTAGAGTTTTAGGTAGAGTGGTAGTCACTGTAGACTGTAGAGTTTTAGGTAGAGTGTAGTCACTGTAGACTGTAGACTGTAGACTGTAGACTACAGAGACTCAGACTATGAAAGGGTGTACACTGTACTGTGGACTGTTGTGGACTTGCTGTACAGTTGTCGCAAGACTCATGTCACATGTGGACTTGGGTCTTGGACATGGAGCTGCATGCCGTTCGCAACTTCGCACATGAAGAAATAAAAATATTTGCAAAAAGTGTTAGCCAATAATTTGCGAGTACTTTATTAGAAAAGTAGCCGTCTGTCAGGAATCCCAGACTTCCAGAGTCCCAATTCGCGTTTGTTTCGATCATGCGCACTTCTAAAACTAAAAAGCACTTTTTTATAGTCTTTTTTTTATAAAAACAATACAAATAGAATCATAAAATATATTATATATGCCCGCTTCTAAAACACATGTATTTAATATATATGTATATAAATACACGAGCATCTTTCATATAAAATGTCAAAGAATATAAGTATAGAACAATGACTACAACTGTAAGAACTCTCTATAAGCAGATTATTGCTTACACAGAGCAAACCAGAATCTACTCGAATGCTGTAACGCAAAAGGTTTCTAACGGTGCGACGCTCCGGGAAACGATTGTGCGAGACGCACTTTTGTTCTCAATGCGGAGTGTTCGTTTGTTTGCAAATCAGGTTGGTATTGAGAAGTACATAGAGGATGCTATACATAGATTGGAGTCAGCGGGAGTGCTGCAGGCTCTCAATAACGAAGAAAGAGCGATAATTGTTGCCAAGTCTGAAGATGAGACAATTGCGACCCACAATTTGGCATTCGACGGCGTCACAGAAGTTGAGTTTAGCAAGGAATCCTTAGCGTCTGATGTAGTCACCGAGCCTGAAGTAGTGCCTGCGCTTGAAATATTATTTGTACAAGAAGATAACAAGGACAGTGACATAATTGACACTGTGATAGTAGCAAATTCAATGATAGAGAATGTTGCGAGTGCAAGGGGTGTCGTGTCTTTACCTGAAGCGGTGAAAGAAAGTATAGAAGCTAAGCAACCTGAACGCATCAAAATTCTGGTCACGCCACCCATTTCTGCTACTACGCCTAAGTTTCCGAGGAAGTTAAGAAGTCCCTCAATAATGAAAAAATTGGTGAAGAGCGTCAGTAGACCAGCAATCAAGGCTGAAAGTGCTGATACTCACAGTCTCATCAGTGTCTCTAAAAGCCATAAGGAAGGATTAAGGTCGAAGATCAGAGGCTTGTTTGGCCGTCACTAAATCGAACCTTATGGATCCATTTTTTCGCCAACAGCAGCTTTCACAATATATTACAATATAGAAGGAATCTTATGAACACAACATAAATTAAGAACCGCGCAATACGATTCACGGTATGCACACGATGTACATACTAGGTGTGCCAAGTTCTTACCAGAAATAATTAGAGAGCTACAAAAAAAAAAGTGAATAAAAAGCATGCAGCCTACAAAAGCCTCAGCAGCCTGCAGCCTGCACGGACTTCACAAGCCGTGTAGAAGTCGAAACATGGGAAGCAGGATATCCGAAGCATGTTTTTGGCTTTTTTTAAACCCTACCAAAACTCTACTAGTAATGATGCCAACCAAACCCAGAATACTCTAATAGCCAACCAAACCTAGAATACTATAATATCTCACCAAAACCCTAAGCCAACCAAAACTGAAATATTGAATTTTTACAAAGAGAAAGTTGTCGAAACAAAGGGTGACCACTGACCACGGCTGTAAACGACTAGTACAGTATTTAAATAGTTAGAAAGTACATATTTGTTTAAAAAATAATGAAGCACTGAAGTAATACTGTGCTATCATGTATGTATGAGGATATCATCCCACTACAGACACTCAAAGTTGCAGATAAATAGCACTTCACACACTATCGCTGAAGAAAACTTCTGCTAACAACCCAGATCCTGAGGCCACCTACTGCGGAAAGTCTACAGGCAGCATGTCTACAAGGACAGATCTTACCCCGTCCCAACAGGATCTGTCATACTACGAACAAGCTTTATCGCTCGTGGAGCAAGCACGATCATATGTCGAAGGCGTCATGAAATCCCGCGCCGAAGGGGCAACACTCAGAGAAACTGTCGTTAGAGATGCGCTCGAACAAGTGCTCACGATGGTGCATACAGTCGCCGAGAAGGTGGGCGGACAGCAACAGATTGAGCATGCAGTGGCAATTCTAGAAGCCAGGGGCGCCTTTGGTGTGCTCACTGAGGAAGAGAAAGCCTTAGTCATGAAATCTCTCGACCCAGACCACCACCGTGGCAGAGAAGATACCTCTGTGCCAGAAACCGTACCAGATACGTTGAAGAGTGCGGTTAAGGTTGCCAAGGTAATGCGTGCTAACGGAGAGATCCCCGCGAAGAGCGCGGACAAAGAACTGAAAGGCGATATAGTGGTGGAGAAAGTGTGCGATAGACTGGAGAATGGGGAGAAATTCAATGCTGTGGAGGTGGTGTCCCGCGAAATGGCCGAGCCTATTGAAGACAGGCACAAGAAGTCGTCCAAGAAGGCTAAGCAGAAAGAGCTAGAGCAACACGTCAAGAAGGTTGACAATGGCGAGGCAGTTCCCTCGATTGTACTGTCGCCACCCCCAGCTGCTGCCAGTTCATCCCCAGAAGTCGAGCGAGAGAGTGTTGTTCCCAAGGGTGGTGCACCTATTCAGTTGGAGAACAAAAAGCTCAAGGACCCTGTGACAGTTCCTAAAGCTAGCGATCCATCTACTTTCTCGAACATCGAGGCCAAGTACGATGTGCAGGCTGTCAATCCCGATACAGTTCACATCAAGCCCAATATGAATCGACAGACAAGTACAGAGTCTACCGGCAGTCAAGGCCGATCAGGTGATAGAGCCAACTCCTCAGGAAATACATCTTCTCGCAGCCCAAGCCCACGGAGGGGATTGAGGGAGAAGGTCAAGGGTATATTCCACAAGTCCAAGTAAGGTATTCCAAGACTAGAGGGCATATACCTCTATGTCGAGCGCAGTACAGCTGAGTCCTGAGAGTTTAACATTGGATAGGTTGTACTCGCTTATCGCACTTTCAAAGTCGCCCACGAACCTACGGAAGCAGGCCATCTCCACTTGTTTCGACTAGCATGTGCGTACATTATCGCGTCATACGAAGCGGCTATATTTAGTATCTACAATATATATAAAACAAATCACCAAACATGTATTTCGAATTGCAACTTCATTCACCTGTATAGGGTATACATATTTACTTGACCATACTGCGAATAGTCCTGGGTTTTCCCGCTGCATATATGCTATCACGGGTTGTCATCCTCTACTATATCATTGTCCGCTACGTCGTCGTCATCAGAGTCTATGGGCCTGAGATAATTCATCAAGAATACGAGTGTGTATCAATTCGGGTGAGTGGTGGCGTACATGCAGCTCACTCTGCGTTGCGCATCGATTGACGGCGTTACTGACCACAAGTTTCTAGACTTCTCGTGAGAGACAAGCAGGTATACGCCAGATAGAAGAACATGTATTCGAAATGACAATTATGTGCAGGCGTAATGCATATCTCGAAGGGAATTTTAGACACGGCATTAGAGCTAAAGTTGAGAATAAAACGAATGGCGGATAGATGATCAATGATTATTCTATGTATGCAGACTTGCAAAAGTTCCAAGTGATGGGTTGTGGATTATAACGACACAGGAAAAAGTCAGCTGCGAGCGCTGCGAATTTGAGAATCTCTACTCTACGTTGGAGTTATATTTGTGATGCCCAAGCTGATCATTCGCATTGCAATTCCTATCTCACGGAGACCAACAAAATAGGCAACAGTGATACAGGTAAGCATGCGCAAATGATCGTGAATAGCTTCGAGCGTACCCAGTGAAGTCCTGTATAGTCTGACCGATTTCAATATGCATCTCTAACCACTCATCTTTAATCGTTAGCTTTGGAATTCGGACTGGATCTGAATGGCGACATACATTCAACTATAGAGCATGTGGACATTCATATACTTCGACTCATCCACACACTACACACTTGCTTACCTGCTTGCGCTCTGAGGGTCCAGGTCTCGGGCCCATCGCAGGTACATAGCCGCGCTGCAGTAAAGATGATTTACATGGAATATTGTAAGGATTAGTTTCTCTTGTGTATGATATAGACAACAATTTTCATATGCAGCTTATAAATACTGAAAATTAATTAAGTTTCGCCTTCAAGTTAAAGTCAGAATGCATAATCAAATATACGTACATGGAAACCAACGCGAATAACATACTCATTGGTGCGTTCCAGTTCTCTGTAAATCTTGCTGATGAGATAGTAGATCTTGGCTTCCCCAGGTGCGACGTCCATCAGGTCCAGCAGCAGCACCAGTGCCTCCTAAACGTATATGAAGTTTAGCAACACATGAGGGGTATATTCAAAATGCTAATACTCTGGCGGCTGTACACCCCTGTCAAAATGTGACATAAGAAACTGGAGAAAGTAGCAGCAGTGCTGAGAACGTGACTATATCTTCGAGTGATGGTGAATCGAAGAAGCCGTGCCCATACACTCAGGCAATACTTTCACGCGTTATGTACCGTGATCATACAGACTCATATCTTTAGCCATGTTTTGGTCACGTACAGACTCATATCTTTAGCCATGCCTTGGTCACGTACAGACTCATATCTTTAGCCATGTTTTGGTCACGTACAGACTCATATCTTTAGCCCTGTTTTGGCCACGTACAGACTCATATCTTTAGCCCTGTTTTGGTCACGTACAGACTCATATCTTTAGCCCTGTTTTGGTCACGTACAGACTCATATATCTTTAAACCATGCCTTGGTCACCTGTGTGACCCAACATTCACTTCGTACTTTGTACCTCTCTTAAAAAAAAATTATGTTGCAAAGGTATCCCTGCAAAAGTACTGGCGTCTATTGGGGTGCACCACCATACCTCACATCTCCCCAGGAAGTTGAGCACTTTGCCCTTGTAGTATGTCGCCACCGCGTTCTTGGGATCTATGTTGAGTGCCAGGTCGAAATGGTTTAGCGCTACTACATACTGCTTCTGTGCTAAATATACCTGTGAGAATTGGGGGCATGTTCACTGATTAGTGCTTGATACAGTCGCGCAGCGCGCCTATCCCGTGCACATGGTATTGGTTGTTTTCGGGTCGTTTTTTTTTGCTTGGAGACCAAAGGCTCCTATTGTCAATAACCAAGCTTGGAGCCAGCACACACGAACGCTCAAGCATAAGCATCATTTCGTACTTGATCCGGTTTGGCGTTAAGCTAGCCAGGCACTCAGCGCAACACCTTTGATCGTAACAACTGTTCTCAACCAGGTCTCGAATTTCGCTTAAACACGCGTAGCAACGTGTGATTCGATTGAGGATCATCAGCCAATCGCGATATATGGGTACCATGGTGCGGGTGTGTTCCATGTTTTCAAATGTGGTGTCGATACAGAGAAGCAATGACAATCAGCCACGCACATCTACACTACCGAACACGCGCGTAACACATTGAGGCATAAGTACAGACACACTACGCTGATAGCCGAAGAAAGTAGTTCGGTAGCTCTGTGAGACTATTGCCAGTACGTCCTGCACGCCATTAAGAGCGACGCCAGATACAACGACACGGGTGAGGTTATAGGTGTAGACTATGTACCGTAAACTTGATAGGCAGTGAGCGTCACGCAACATACATTGCCCAGGTTGCATGCGATGATGCTGCTGTTGGCATTGAGCTCGTGTGCTTTTACGAAGCATGAGGTGGCTCGGGCGTAGGACTCTTCGCGCAGGAAGGTCTGTCCCAGCGCGTTCCAGACATTATAGTACCTGTGGAGTGAGTGATAGTTTCATAACTAGTGATTACGTGAATCTATATAGACATACGCTTGCAATATACGCCATACGCTGATCGTGTCTAGCTCCTTGGTGATCTACGAGCATGCGTGTACCTACGCATCATCTATGCATCATGCACAGAATATCTATCGATGATATGGTCGCCCGCCATTAAGCGATTGTTAGCGGTATTGCAGCCAGACAGTCTACACTGCTTGCTCTACATCGTGAATCACACACACATTAGTGCTGCGCAAATCGATCGACAACATAGAGGCACAGCGGATACTAAACTATTTAAGTAATGCTGATGAAATGTGATGAGGATCACCCCGTGGTATACACGCTCGAGCGACACTGTGGCAGAATCAAGCTAATTGCCAAGCAAAAGTTCACACAATAAACGTTTCGTTATGCTTTTGAAATGAACGCTCGCATGACATATTTCTGCTACAGGCAACACGCAGGCATGCTTCCATCTGGTGTGTGCACTGCTATTGCGTGCGTATGCGATACCTTCGTGTTGATATTAAAGCCCGTGCGAACAAACAACAATGTACTCTGGAGCCTCACTTTGCCGAGTATATACTGGGCTGAAGTGTTCGCAGTGTACATACCTTGGACTGATCCTGGCCGCTTTCAAATAGCATGCCTTCGCCTTATCAAAAGCATCAATAGCCTCGTACTCCATACCGAGCAAGGTGTAGGCATACATATAGTGTGGGTCCAATTGTATCGCCCGCTCGAAGAAGACTTGAGCCGATTCATGGTCTTTCTGTAGTGAGAAGGCGTTCCCAACAACGCACCATGCAATTGCGCTGTGTTTGTTGTCTGCCGTCAGTTGGTGACTGAGACCACTCAGTTCCTATATAAGCAGAGATGATCGAGGGTATGTGAGTCTTGATACGTGCTGAATGCCCAGCAAACACAAAATCTGATTTGTACGCCTTTCGTAGTATAGAATACACTACTGCATACACGTCTATGGTACATGTCACCTTCATGTATATGGTACAATCTTACTTACATGTGTTTGGTACAAGTCTACATACATGTATATGATACAATGATAAAATAATACAATGATATATATATATATATATATATACATGTTTGTGTGTGTAGTATTGCATTTCTATTAATGGAATTGTGGACACAAATCGACATCTAGTTCTTTGCGGTACGACACGGTGTTCTTTTCGGCCTCATCTGACACTTTTACAGGCGTATCCATCTGTTAGTTCATATGTATATAGATGTTTACAATTCATGTGCACTAACAACATACATACACATAGTATATATTCAAACTTGCATATATCTGACATATCTTTGTAGAACCAGAAGTTGTGTATTCTTTTGATGTGTTTGCAGTTTCGACAAAATTTAGGCACGTGGGTAGTATGTGCACTTGGATGAAAGTGTATGTGCATAGATAAACAATTCAATGGCTATTTGCATGTGTAACTAACTTTAAACCGACACAACTACCCATTTAGATTTTTTCTGGGTATAATTTATGCCGAAAACTATCCAATGCACGAATCCACTGCAAGCCCCCTATGCCAGTACTTGAAACGAACTCGATAATCCTATATTGGCGTAGTTGCGAGATCTACTGCACACTGCTTGTTGATTGTGTGCGATTCTCTTCATGACTGGATTCCAACTTCCCCCAAATTTCCTAAATTAGTAATTTCACTCCACTTTCCAACTGAACTACTATCTGGCTTCGTCCCAAACACAAATTGTCATAAGACATACCTTGGTGGCTCTCAATTGCCACAGAACGGTCGAGTACAGATCCATGCCGTCATGAACATACGGTGCAAGCCTGCGAGCATATTCGTATGTTTGGCCAGACACGACGTATTCACCTCTCTCGTAGTAGCACTTAGCTATTAACCTCTGTACCCAGGCCGTGTTGACTTGTATCTTTGGTAAGGACCTCAAGATGACTATGCCTTCTTTACAGGAACATTTGCTTACTTGAGAGTATCTATGTTATAAGGAGAAGTAGGCATACATTATAAGGAGAAGTAGGCATACGGTATAAGGAGAAGTAAGAATACATTATAAGGAGAAGTAGGCATACGTTATAAGGAGAAGTAGGCATACGTTATAAGGGGAAGGAGGCATACGTATGCATTTGTACGCTTAAAGGTTTCATCGGCGCTTCACGCAAGCGAGCCAATTGAGACAGCCTCATTATTTCTATAAATGGATTTTTCATCTAAGGCTGTACCTTGTGTACGGCATTCGAAAGAAAACATATCGCTTGCCCATATGTGAACGCGATAACCACCATACCACAGACAGGCACGGAAGATACATCAGTCGATTGATACAACCAACATCGCACCAGAAAATATAGACCGCGTAACGGGATACAGATATACCCTCTGTTTTAACCAACTATTCAATAAATCATACTAACAATATAGGCGATCTACCACCACTCTACAAAACCACACATACACAATCAATCGCACGACCAATCACGAATGCACGGGAAAAATTGGTGCACATACCCGTCCGCCAGTGTTCTGAAAATCTTCATAATATAGCTTATTGATTTAGAGGTTGCGTTGTCGCCGGTGAACGGTGCGCCCTAGGAGTGTTAGTAGAACAAATAAATACAATAGTATATCAGTCAGGAAATCAGAATACATTTGTTTTGGTCAAAATACTTACAAAACACAGATCGGTGAAAGCTCGAACAAACATGACACTACGCGTACGAGATTTCCACTAGAAAGTATGTCTGAATATACGAGAAAGAGAGAGGCATCTGCAGAAAGAGCATGACGCATAGCAATCACAATCTATTTAACCAATAATGGGATCACAGATGCACGCGATTCAGAGGTGACTGCGCATTGTATATGCATTGTGCTGTACTGACAGCGTGTCCACTCACGAGCAAACACTGTCTATGCAGGCGAATCAGAACTGCGCGCATGCTACACAGGGCTAAAAAATACGGTGGACAGCAGTAAGCTGTACTTTTTATCTCACATCAAGCGGCGCTCCCCAATATGCGGTTCGTTATGTAAATATGTGGACAAAGTATACGGTAGGCAGGTTTACCTTCCGGGAGCTTCGTTGACAACTTCGGTCGTTGCGGAATAAGTTCTCGGCTGCGTTGTTAGCTGAGGTGTGTACATTCGGAGGGGTTGTGTATATATTGCTTGGTGTTGTATTGATGCTGGCTGTTGTCTTGCTCGTCCTGTCACGGGGTGTATGATATTGAAAAGGCTGCGTATGAATCATCTGGGAAATGAAAAAATTATGACGCACGGATAGCCGAAGGATCGAGGACAGTCACTAGGCAAGAAAGTGCATCACATGTATTAGTATAAAGAAAATATAGACCAATGTACAAAGGCAGCAGCAAGCACACATGACAGACAACCAGATGCACATCGGATATTCACAGAGTCACGCATTAACGAGTCATCAAATCGTTCGACGCATCATATATAAAATGAGCACAAGCGACAACTACAGTATCATGACTCTCGTAGATACTTACAGCGGAGCCCTTGCTTTGGGCGCAGGCTCGTCAGTTTTTAACCTCTTCGCGTAGTAATGTTGTGCCGCAGAGTCCGAAAACTTTCCTTCAATACATTGCCACGCACCCAGATCTGCGAGTCTTTCGCAGCACTGCAACCATTGAATGAATACGGCAATAATGAGTATGAAACCGGCAGTAAACTACCTCCAAGTTGGCTTTGCATCGAAAACACATTTAACAAAGCAAGTACATTAAGCATCCTAGAGATCTCATAAGGGAAGCTTATAATGAGTCATTCTTATCATTTGTATGCAACGTGTGACGCTCAGGGGGCGGTCGCCACTAAGGACGGCCCGTTATGCAAAGTCGGACTCAAAAGGTCCAAACCCAGCTTCAGTAGTCTGATACCACAAGCTTGACACCGATTTGGTTGTCACCAACCACACTGGAGCCATCTTATACCACGACACACTGCACTTTACCTTCCACATATAAGGATTAAATTCCAAGGCCTCTGAGTACGCCTTGATGGCCTTCTGCACCCGATTTGTTCGATTAGTCACTTCGCCCAGCAACCACAACACCTCCGATTTGGGGACAACAGGTGCACCAGCAGTGTCGTTAATAGATCCTTCGGGTTCGTTCAGCAAGGCGAGCACACAGAGCAGTTTCTCCTCCGCCTCGTGCCATTTGTCCATGTCCCAGCAGACTCTGGCTTTGAGCCAAAGACCATTCACTGGGTGCACACAGATCCAGTACGTAGTAGGTGAAGTTGGTACAGACCATGTATCCAGAAGGTGTCATTTACGCATTTATAGTCCTCGACCAGATAATAATTCAAGGCAGATACGATGTACTTTTATATGGAATACAATCCGGATATTGAGAGAAAGTGTCATTTTCGACTGCGGCACAACTATTGACATGTGAATGGCCGAAGAACACAGGTTAGCATCAGGGACTGCTTATATCAATCATATTGCATGAGCACCGGGTAACCTTTGCATACTTCGGGAGACTTGTATGTTCCAAACATATGAGCGAGAGGAGCACTTGGGTATGCGCGATTGACCTACAGTATAGTGAGACATGTAGTCTACGTCGCACACACGCGCAAGGCAATATACACGTGATCTCAAAGCTCATCACACAACTAAACACATAGCCAGATAATAATAAGTGAATAACATACCTGTTTGTGGTTCGGGGTTGTCTAATACACCGTAGGCGGCCGTCAGATTGCGGTTGAGAAAGTGGCACTTGGCTAACAGGCACCGTGTTTGTTCACTATCCTGCTCGGCTAGTGACCTTTCGCAAAGGAAGATGGCATTCTCGTAGTTGTATGCGTCGAGTGAGCTTTGTGCCGCATTCTTCAGCTGTGTCGCCGTCACCTATTGGTTATGGATATTATGTTCCAATCGTAGAGGGGTGAGTCAGGGCTTGTGTACCTTGTGAAGATCGCCTACATTACATACTTCCTGAAAAACAACCATATCCACCAGGCCCTAGCTGTCTAAAGTTCAACTGATAACGCCGTTTCGCAACTCTACTTCGAACAATGTGCCATGTAAGCAATGTCCTGATGGGCTGATAGCTCGAGAGACATCACAGCCATTAAATGGCCAGTGTTGATCATGCTGATAGGTATATTCCTCTTTCGGGTGGTGGTCAATACTTTCCACATATGCACACCGTGCACCTGGTCAAAATGATACTGTTGCAGTTGAAAAATAAATTATCTTACTATTATCTTGTAGTTGCCCAATCCGTGCCCAGTTATAATATGTACCTGAAAGAACCTTTGTTCAATATTCGCGCTTCACATGTGGATTTTATCCTAATATCGAGCAGCAAGATTACAGCATACTATACGAAGACAATTCTAGCTTGAGCGTCGCCCGATGCATAACTCGCGTTGACAACAGAAAAAAACGTACTTAGGAAAAGCTCATGCCACAGAATAATCTACTCGTGTATGACGGGACTTCCGTTTCTCACTTCCCAAAGCATATATTCCATAATCATCAGTGAACGAACTCAAACAGACAGTGGAACAGCTGTTCAAGGCGAGGACTTAATCGATTTTGACAGTTGGTAACCGAGTGTGAGTATAATCACAGGTGCAACGACAACAAGCAATCAACCACCATACCCCCAATAGGCATACATACAATGGCTACACAATAAGAGCGACCAAGCGGCGTAATCCAGTGCATGTCTTATAAAGTATGGGATATCATCGCAAACCAACTAAGTAGATAGACGCGTGCAGCTAGCGCAAAGATCCTATGCGTGAAAGGTCTGCGAGTAGCAATGACTATACAAGAGATGCAAACCATGAATGTGCGTGATATAGAATCGCTCAGTATGAAGCACTCTGTAGTATATAACAATAGAAGAAGAAAAAATAAAACTCTTGATACATGCAGATGAATGGATAGTATCCGAAGGAGAAACTCAGATATGAGTTTTGCTTAGCAGCAGAATATATAGTTTGTATACAGACTAGAGAGATTGGTAGCGAAAAAGTGGTCAGAACCGATACTTCGAACAACTCGACTGGTACGTATTCGCTAGTTTGGGCGACCACTGTGCATCAAAGCTATTCACGATTGAGGCGATTGCGCAAGTCCACGCGCTAAATCCTCAGAGTACAGCGAGACAGTGGTTAGGAACTGAGAGTATAGTACTGTATGCAGGATAACTCATAGAGTAATCCGGCTGTGAAGCCCATAAAGGCTTGAATATAGACATATACGATCCGTACAACGGAAATTAAAGTAGAACAACGGCAACAACTGCTACAATATACGAGAGGGACACTCACCTGGGAGTCGTGATTGCCGAACATGACGACGGCGATCGAATCATTTGCTTATTTCTATTATACGACACTCGCAGTGCTGGTGTGCTTGAGATATGTAGAAAGCCGTCTAGTGATTGGGTAGATGGACTACCTACCTCTGATTTCCACTCGCAAGTGCTCGGAACTACTTTTCAGTAAAGGTGATGTTTTATAGAGCGACGGTGTGCAAAACTCTTGTGTCTCAAAGTCAATAGACACCGTCCATCCCGACGTATAGCCTTATTTCAGAGTGGTATTGGATATGCAATTGTGTATAATACCATGTACTAAGTACGCCATTAATAGCTACTACTTTATGAAACTTCATGAGACTATGTAAATAACTAAAATATGTAATAAAATATAAGGATGTAACTTATCGATATCTCCGATGCCGCCAAAATAAACCAAAAACAGGTAGTACATATTGTAATACCTGTGTCCGGCGAATTGTACAGCAATCCCAAAAAATTAGTCGAAGCGATTCCTGATTTTGAGCGATTGAATTTTTATTCAAATTGAACTATATTTCTGATTGACCTAAAAAAAAAAATTTGGATCTGAAAAATAGTATTTATTTGGATCTGTTGCCGTGAGCACTGAACCCCTGACAGGGACTATATTTATAGACATATTTGGGAGTGAAAGTGGGTCACGGGGAATATGAACGACCCAATTTGAAGGGGATTTAGTTCCACGCGACATGGGTACTGACACTGTAAACAAAATTTCTGAGTGCGCCCCTGTAAACACACCCTTTTGTACTCGCTATGAGAGAATAGTAGAAACCACTTTATTGCATATATTTCTAATAAATACTACTACTACTATCTATCTA